CCACGATTGGACCGTCGGCAACATACTATCCGCGCTGGGCGTTTGGAAGCGGCAAATGCCGCGCTTTGCTATCATGGCCATCTTCGAGACGCACAAGCATCGCGAGACAGGGGAACACTATGTGGAGGTAATGGAATTTATGGAAAACCCCTTTGCAGCCTGCAGTCTTACAAGTCCCAAACTCTTTGTAGATCTTTCTGCGCAACGATGAATATGGCTGCCTGGAGCAGCTGAAGCTGGACGACTGCGAGCTGCAGTGTCCACTGAATCGGCTTGTCGAGCTGAGCGAATCGGTGCTGCCCAATGACCCCGTGGAGCAGCGTTGTCGTGCTCGTAACGCTGATTTTGTGGAACCACCTCCGCGTCCAATCGATCAGCAATAACTTATTAAAATAGCATCATAAAGCACACAGAACTCAGTATTAGACGATGACAGCAGGTCATGAAATCAGCGGGAAAAAAATAAACAAAAGTACCCCAAAAAAAGTTAATTGTGTTTGCGAGAGTTTTGGCTTTCTATTTTTGTTGGTAAATTTGTTTATTGTGTTGAACACTCAAGTTGATTATAGTTAATTTCGTGTGTGTTATTAAAGGTTTTTATTGTGCAGCGGCTCTTTGCAAAATTGTTTGCTTTTGCGATTCGAGCAACGTCATCTCTCACACTGTTCGCTATCTTTGCAAACATATTCTCGATTCTCTCGATTCTGTTCTACATAATCGCGACTTAAAAGCCGCTCGGCTTCTATTAGTGCAGTCACTAGACGCGTGAGTCTCAACGTAGCTGGAAGCACGCTTTTAAAATAAAACTCTATAGAAATATATTAAAAAACAAAAAAAAAAAAAACTATATGATGGGGGCCAAGCATTTTGCTGGTCTGTTGTTCTGCCTGAGTGCCCTGCTGCTCGTGGGAGCAGCTATTGTGCCCGTAAAGGAGCCAAAGGATGAGGATAAACAGGAGCTGCCCACTACAAACTCAACGCTGGAGCTTGTGCATGTGGTAAATAAATGTCAAGTCTTATAATTGCTTTCACTCTGTTTGTGCGATATACTATACGAATGAATGTGATATGCTTGTGTTGAGCCAATGCAAATATTCTTTGCATTTAAAGTGCCAAAATAATTCATTTAGATAGCAACTTATAGCAGGCGCTAGACCATAAAATTATGAAATGTGCTTTCCACTTTTATGAACTGCTTAATCTCTATAATTAAACCATAAAGAGGCACTAATAAACGCACTTAAATTACGTACCAGCCGAGAACTATCATTATTGTTGTGCTTGAAACGTATTTCTTTTGGCACTTTAAGAAGTCGGCTTATCAGCTGAATTTAACTTAAATATAAATATATATATTAATATTGCTACTTGGTACTAATTTAAAATAAAATCTTTTACGTTTTACGCCAAGACCAGTTTGTGCCACATGGCGTATACGTAATACTTCGCCAAGTAGCATTAACATTAATTAAAGCAAACTAACCGGTTTGTTGGGCAAGTACTAAATTGTGTGTGTATGTGCAAAACTAATTACTTTAATATATTCCTAATTGGAATGCAACATGCAACTTCATAAGGAAATTTTATTAATGAGATACTAAATCAAGTAAAAATGCTCATTATATTCGGACTAAAAAATACCCTGTTTAGACACAGAAAATTGAGTCTTTAATCTGCATATTAATTATGCTAGACACATGTTCATTATACAGATTTTCAAAATTAAATGGCAAAGCGTATTTTGGCTAAACGGTTTTTGTGTTCTTGACGCTTTAGTTAAGGCATTGGTTAAATAACCTTAGACAAAGCTCAAGTATTGACCCAAATGGTTAACTACGCAAAAACTAAAACTACAATAAACAATAAATAAACAATTGAGTGCCAGTGAATATAGGAAAACGTACCCTATTTTCACAGCTATTTCGCCATGGACCACGTACCCCCGTCAACACCTATCCGAAGGATCCGCACTTGAACGAAACTTACGAGCCATATGGCTGGGGAGAACTGACCAATGTGAGCGAAATAACTTAAACAAGTTAAAATTACATTACAAACATATATCAATGTTCAATAGGCAGCCAAGCTGGAGCTCTACAAAATAGGAAAACAGTTGCGCAAGCGTTACAAACAATTTCTTATGCCCTACTATCAGCCGGATGTGAGTCTAATGTGTGATCATGGTACGAGTTATAGCTCATCGATGAACTTATTTCAGATGCTTCACGCTCAAGCCACGGAGTCATCACGCACCCTAATGTCAATGCAGATGGTGCTGGCAGGTCTGTTTCCGCCAGAGAATACGCCCATGGAATGGGATGCGACGCTGAACTGGCAGCCAATACCAATCTACACAGAGCCCGAAGCAACCGACACGGTAAAGTTGCAGCAAATGATTCCTGCAAAGACAGCCAATTAATAAATACTAAAATTATTCTAAGCGCAGCGTCTGCGTCAGAAGGTGCCCTGCCCCCGCTACGAGGAGGCCGTGTGGGAGGTGATGCATTTGCCGGAAGTGGTTGCACTACACGAGGAGAACTCGGACCTGCTGCAGCAGCTAACCGAATTGACGGGCCTCAATGTAAGCTATGCGCACGATGTGACCAATGTGTTCATCTCGCTACTGGCAGAGCAAGCCTACGGCCTGGAGCTGCCAGAGTGGACAAAGGAATACTTTCCAGACAAAATGAGACCACTGGCTGCGAAATCGTATACCTACGATGCGTACACGCCGGAGCTGCGCAAAATCAAAGGAGGTTTCTATCTGGCTGACATGTTCTACCATATGCAGTCAAAGATAGCTGGCAAACTGGAGCCAGCTGGTAGAAAAATGTACATATCCTGTGCACATGATTGGAGCATATCGAATGTGCTAAGCGCCCTTAACGTTTGGCAGAATCAGATGCCCCGTTTCTCAGCCCTGATAGCCATTGAGCTGCATAGACGCAACGATAGTGATGACTACTTCGTGGAGATATATTTCCAAAATGATCCCAACCAACCGCCGCAACTGTTGCAGGTGCCCGGCTGTGACAAGCAGTGTCCCATAGCAAAGCTACTGGAGCTAACAGTGGACGTGCTGCCGGACGCACCATATGAGCAGCTGTGCCTCGCCCGGGGCACTGGCGACGGCACCCGCATCAGCTATCACAAATGAGAGTAGAGCAGTATTAACTATGTAATATCTTAATATGAAGTGCTTATATAAGAGGCTTCTGATAGCTATATAAAAAATATGTATTCGCATCCGTCTGATTGCTGTTTGATTGATTTGCACGCTACTCGAATGGACTAGCTCAGGCTGGGAGTTAATGTGCGTGTTTTATTACCTCCACTTGGCGGACGGCAGTTTGGTAAGTTTTATCATGGGGTATGCTTTTGGAATATCTAAAAATGTTCTATGATAAAAAACTAAGTATAATGGGTAGAGTTTGGAAATTTAAATGTTGGCTTAAATCAATTGCCAAGTGGAAGCTTTTGAGCTGCAAAATTAGGCATATACATTATAACTTGGCACCGCAATTAGAAACTCTTATTTGAGAACAATTTATAAAATTGATATTTGATGCGCTAATGAAAATAAATATTCAGATAATTACGAATAATTTTAAGAGTGTCGCTTTACGTTAATTAACTAACAGTAGAAGGGTTCGAGCTGCATAAATATTAAAACAACACAATTAAACATATTAGATTGGAAACGTCTATTTAATATTAGCTCAAAAAAAGCAGCTATTAAAACGGTTTCATTAACACTTTATCACTTTATGTGAATATCTAATTGACTAGCTCAGCATAGGGATTAATCAAAGGGAATTTTAATAACTAAAGACATTTATTAATTTCTCTAAATATAACAAGATCTTTAGGTATTATTCACATAACATATATGCCTACCGCTTTTATATGCATCAATTTAATGAACTGGAGTTGTTTAAATCACAAATTTTTTAAACTGCCCCACCTTCAAATTAATTACACGTTTACTAAAAGGTTTCTTACAGCACTTATAAAACAAACTGTAGATGTTCTTGAAGCAAACAGTTGGCATTTGAACATTTTATGCATAAAAGCGATTCAAGTGTTTTATATTTAATCCATCAAAGGATGGCAACAACTTCCGTGCGGCAATAAAAAGCAATATGTAAATTTAAATTTGTCAAATTGAGGCGCAATTTTAAACAAAACACAGCAACAAAAACAACATGCATAATACTAAATAATTAACATATGCTCGATAAAGTAACAAAGTAAACAAATCCAAAATGTTAAGATTTATTACAACCGGCTGCTGAAAAATCTGGTGACGAATTTCTTTGGGCATGAATTAGCCAGACGCCAAAGTGTGTGTGCGTGTGTGAATGTATTTTATTGTATGTGCGGGTGTGTGTAAGTCGCGCCCGCGATTTAAAACGCCTCAAATGTGGAGGCATTGTTGTGGCGAATGCTCAATGTACGATCAGTTACGAGCCACGCAACACACAATAGACATACAACAACAACAACAATAACAATAACAATAATAAGAATAAAAGTAATAATAGTCAAAAGCGACGACGGTGACGAAAGCATTTGGCGATAATGAAACGATAAAAGACATATGTTCTGTTGGTTCTGAACATCGTTTTACTTTTTTTTGTGGGCTTTTGTTTGGTTCGCAAAATATATATGACAGTACGGCATAGGTGCTCCGTGGAACAGCTGAGCTATCCGTTATCCGTTATCCGGTTATTCGCTTATCAGCTCGGTCAAAAACTGAAAATATAATACGGCTCATCATTAATTACAGTGTACAAGGTTTGTCAAATAGAAATACGCGTATGTTTGTATTGATGATAACAGCAGAAAGAAGGCAAATATCGCGCCCGAAATACAGATATTCAAATGCTCTTCAAAGAAAAGGCGCCCTCAAAACTCGTTCCATAACGACTTTGCAAATTAACAATAACAAGTTTATTATTATTTTTTTTTTTGTTTTTTTTTTTTGGTTTTCTGTTTTATGAGAAGCATAATTAAAAGCACCGAATAAACAATGCCAGCAAATATCAAAAAAGAATCGAGTTGTCTGTTGGTCTTCTGATTTGTGTGTTTGTGGCCGTTCGAATCGCTTCAACGTTCCCGCTCTGCTATAAGCGCGTAGCAAATAAACACATATACACATACAACAATAAAACGGAGAACAACCCAAGTTCGAGACCCGCGACTAAGCCATATAAAGCAGCTCTACCAAAATGCCGCGTTCGCATTTCACTAGGAGGCATTGTCTAGCGATGACGGGCGGCTTAATTGCATTGGCTTTGCTGATCTTGTGCTTTACACACTCGACGGTCATCTCGAGCAAGCTCACCGATCCCGGCACCGACGAGTCTACGCTTGAGCTGTTGCATGTGGTAAGTCCGAGAGTCGATAGCAATCGAACGACACTAGCAAAAAACAAAAAAAAAGTAGAAAAACAGCTGTGAAGTAACAGCTGCGGCTATTACACTGTGCAACAGACCTCAAGCTTTCGACCGATAAGCCATACAGGTGATGCAAGCCGAATCTCTGCTGGGTTAGTTTTTTACTTTAAACAAAGCTGGCTAAGCATTAAGTGAAGGTAAAATATTTTGAGAAGCTTTTAGGGACTGTAATTTGAGAAGATCAAGCCTCAAAAGCATATTGCTTAGGGTTATTTTTATTTTGATTATTTTGATTATTTTAATTTTTATTATTATTATTATTACAAACAGGCCAAACTAACAAAACTTACAACAAAGTAACTCAATCTGCAAAAGAAGTCCCAATTCAATTAGCTAACATCTTTATTCAAAGTTAGGCCACCTTACAAGTGCTCTATCAAAGCCATTAAAAATGCCAGGTGCCAGAAGTAGAGTAAATAATAACGTCACGTCTGCCCAAGAATAAGCAGCTGATAGTACAAAAAAGCAAAACCAACGTTCGTCATTAAATGTTTAAACTTAGCATTGAAAGTGAATGGAATTAACATAGCTTCAGCAAATTAAAAAGAAGAAGAAAAAAAAACATTTTGCTGATAACAAATCGTAAAAAATGTTTAAAAAAAAAAAAGAATATATTGCTGGCAAACACGCGACAAAAATAGTTAACGCTCGCAGTTTTTAAGCAACATGCCCTGACACTGTAGCACAGTGTAACTTAGCATTTAATTATTGCTCGGAATAATTTTAATTTAGTACGCTGCCAGCGGAGGCAATAGACGAATGTTGCGCGATAAGAACAAGCCTTACACGCATACACAAAATGTCATAAATACTATGTATCACCAGTACGGAAAGTGAAGGCGCTCCGAAAGGTAGAAGCCTGATAAGAAATAGGCTTACCTATAGTTTCCTAAGCATTGAAAAGAGCTAAAATTAATACCAGTGATTAGTGCTTTGTGCATCAGATAATTTAATTGAGCTTTAATTGTGTTCTTATAATAGAACGCACCGATTAACGTGCTTTAGATTAAAAAGTACTAATACCAGTGATTATTATTGGATTATATATCACGTATTAATAGGCAGCCAGCCATGAAGTCTGTAATAAAAGTGAGATTGTGACTTTGACGAGAAACTCTAGTGTCGCCTATAAACTGTAGTAGTTGATAGCACCTGCTAGAGATGAGTGCGTGTCGTGTTTCCGTGCGTGACACAAACATTCACGCATTGGGCACGTGAATGCGCAGACAGTATCAGCATTATCAGACAAGAGATCAGATAGTTTCACCGTGCCTTATAGTTCATATATGCTTCATTAATTAAAAATGAATATATTACAAAATTTTAAATAAATTGTGCTTGTCGAATCGGTTAACTTTTAAACAGCTCTTGTCACGGGCTCCAACTTTATTTTATGCTAAACAAACTATGAAAATCTGTAATTAACAAGTGGCATTTCCATTAAGTTAGGCATGTAAAATATCTTAGAAGAAATGATATCTATTTGTATTAAATTACAGATTTCTTTTTAAATTAATTTTTCATCTTTCTAACAATCTACTTGTAAATGAAATAAAGCAGCTTAACTTCATAAAACAACTCTTCAAACTGGCCCATAAATCAGTTGTACGCATCATCCATGCCACAACTATAAACAAAACAAAACAAAGCCAAACAAACTTAAAACCAGCTACATGCCTAATTACAATTTCAGCTACTCGTTTCGCCCAACCGAGCAACAAAAAAAAACAAAAGCTAACAAAAAAACCAGTCTACTAACTTTTTTATATGGCCACAAACTGCGACGCACTTTTGTTATATAAATATTTTCAAACATTTTTAACGTAGTCAAGTTTAATATTGATGCTCTGAAAACCTAATTAACTGACATAGAGATAAGTTGACTCACTCTAGTCCAGGGCTGCTGACCTTCAGCCAGGCGTAGCTTATCAGCAAATTGGCCACGCGCAATTTAAATCGAATCGCTGGAAAAGCTTCCGCAAATTTCTATTTGTAGCGACACTTTGCACGTGCATGACCAGGTGCGACGAGTTGCGCCTGGGATTGATGGTTGCTTCTCCCCTGAGTACGTATCCTACTCGCAAGTGGTCGCTCTTTCTAATCAGAGTCGCGTGCACGGCTTAAATTTGTCATTATAATTGTTTTTGCTTGAGATGCTAACTAAACGCGTACCCCAACATGACACTGGCTAAAAATAGCGCATAAAAACAAGCCTAATCTGGAATATAAAAAGCCACAGGTCGACAAAATAAATCTTTGAAGATTCGCATTTTTCAATAATAAATTGCAATTTATTAATAGACAGACTTCATTTGTGTAGACGCTATAGCAAAATTCAGTAGGTCGACGATCTTACTGCATTTATTAGCTAATTGCATTTTTTTTTTTTAATTAAATATTTAAATTAATATAAATTATATAAAATTGATGTCTTAAAGCATGATTTTCAGCTTATGTCAATTGCAACTAAAACCGAGCTAATTAAAGCAGCGACTGGAAATAAAAGTTAAAAACTCGTAACTAACACTGCATACGTTTGTACTATTCTCAGGTCTTTCGACATGGCCCACGCACACCGGCGGACACATATCCAACGGATCCCCATGTAAATGAAACCTACTATCCATTTGGCTGGGGACAAGTAACAAATGTGAGTCGAGAACAAGTTGCAGCACAACTTTTGCCCAAAAATAGAAAACAAAAAACCAAAAAAAAAAAAAAAAAAAAAATGTGAAAAAGGAACCTACCAGCTTCCCGTTCAGCCCGAAAACCACGCAGCAAAGCATTTAAATAAATTGAAATGCAAATGTTTGTCGTGGCGGAGGACGGATGAAGTTGGGGGGGTGGCATCTGTGTTGCATTAACATATACACATGCATATGTTTATGCAATTGCAAAAATGCAAGGCATTTATTATTTTATAACATTGCTACATGTTTGTCTCTCTCTCTCTCTCTCTCTCTCTCTCTCTTCCGTCTGTCTCTTTCTCTGGTGCTACTGCTGCTGCTATTTGTGGGCTACCCGGCTGTTGTCTCACGTGCCATCCGCCCATGCCATGTAATAAATCAACGCTCAGAATGGCAAACGCGAGCTGTTCAACATTGGAAGTTGGCTGCGTAAGCGTTATGGCAAATTCCTGGCACCCTACTACAGTCCCGATGTGAGTAACCCAACGCTAACGAACCACCACCAGACACCCGTTCGTACGCGAATAGGGGAACCGGAGACCGGGTATACCGCCGGACGGGTGTCTGATAGTGCGGACGTTTACAAATTGCAAAGCTCAAGCGCTCTTGCCTCATCACTCAATTTCCTTAACGCTCTTCTCGTTCTCGTACTCGTTCTCGGTCTTGGCCACATTTTACATCTTCAGTTGGTGCACGCACAGGCAACGGGCGTGCCACGCACACACATGACCATGCAAACGGTGCTGGCCAGTTTCTTTCCACCGAAAGGTACGCCCATGGAATGGAACAGCAAATACAATTGGCAGCCCATACCGGTGTTCTCGCAGGAGCTAAATGAGGATACGGTATGTCAACCTATCAATAATGATGCCATCATCAGTTGGAATTGATTAATACCCCATTTCAACGTCAACACCAAAGGCCGCGATTCGGGTTTTCTCTTTTCTCGTATTTTAAAACGAGCCAAAAACTAATTTAATTGAGATATGTGCTAGCCATTTATAAGGCTCAACTTGAAGCAAATCAATTTAACTTCGATTCTAATTTAAATGCTGCACAAAACGAAAAGATTCTATACTTAATGCTGGCAGGCTGATTGAATAGCATTTAAATTGACGTTAAATATTTATTCTAATCTAGTTTGTTTATTCATTTGTTTAATATTCCGAAGTTCTTTACTTCAGTTTAATTTACCTAACATTCACATTTTCGATGCAATATTTGCAAAAATCAATTAATTGTTTATTATTTAATCGAAAATTCTTTAATCCTCAGTTACTTCTTGTGCGCACACCCTGTCCTCGCTACTTTGAAGCCCTGCACGAAGTTTATGAGCTGCCCGAGGTGAAGAAGGAAATCGAGCCCTATCTGGAAATGTATAAGGAGCTGGCTGGCCACACCGGGCTCAGTTTCAATGAACCGGAAGATGTGCAATCGCTCTATCTGACATTGCTCGCGGAACAGGAATGGGGTCTAGAGCTGCCCGAATGGACCAAGCAATATTTTCCCGAGAAAATGCAGTTCCTTACCGAACAGAGTTATGTGTATAATGTGTATACGCCCGAGATGCAAAAGATCAAGGCGGGTCCGTTCCTAAAGAAGATGTTCAACGAAATGCAACAGAAGCGTAACGAAACCCTGAAGCCCGACAAACGCAAGCTCTTTATCTATACGGGCCACGACTCGACTGTGGTGAATGTGCTCTCTGCTTTGAAGATCTGGGAGCGTCAGCTGCCACGTTATTCGGTCATGGCATTGTTCGAGCTGCACAAGAACAAAGAAACCGGCGATTACTGGGTGGAGATTTATTTCCGCAATAATCCCAAGGCGCCAGCTGAAAAGTTAACTGTGCCCGGCTGTGAGTTCCAGTGTCCGTTGGATAAGTTGCTCGAGTTGACTAAAGATGTGGTGCCCAGCGAGGCAGATGCCAAGCGATGTGATGCCCAAAATGAGCAGTTCACAGAGCCGCCATTGCGTGGCCCATAGTAAGGCTAAATGGAGGAGGATGTATATTTCTGGAATCGAACAGGTGCTAAAACTCAGGGAGCCACAAGTTAGTTAAGTTAACCAATCATTTAAGTCCTTCTATTAAAGATCAAGTAGAAATTTGCAGCTGTCTGGTGTTTGAGCTAGCGCCAGGACCAGCGCCTCATATGGCAGCCAAGTTGGCTCATTTCCGCCTGTGGCGCCGCCATTGCCCAATAGGCCGCTTCCGTTTGCCTTTTGCCAGCTCCGCAAACAACTTCCGCACTTATTTTACCAGCTACCCGACAAATGTGCCCTCTCTCTATCTCATGCCCTCTGTTATGCTTTGTATCTTTGAATCTCGCCCGCCCTTTGGCTTTGCTCATTTTTGCCAAGAGGTGACATTTTTCGCATTGCGGTTTACCATAAACTATTTCATTGGGGAGTTGTTGTCTGTGTACATTAGCAGTGCTCCATGCTCCATGCTCCATGCTTGGTGCTTGGTGCTGGTGTTCCATGCATGCAATTGCCAGGTCCCCACTCCAAACAGTTCTCCATTGTTTACTTGTGTGCGTTGCCCATCTGTCTCTCAATGTGTGCCCAGCGTCTCGCTTTCTCCTACCATTCTGTGTGTTTGTGTGTGTGTATGCTCTTTGCACATATCTGTAAACTTTATTTGTCAACGGGACGCATATGCTGTATGCTTGCCAAAAAAGGATAAAAAGTAGAAGAAAAAATATTAAAATAAAGGAATCATATCCTCGCTCACAGTCAGCACTCGCGCTGTTATCCTTGTCTGTTTGTTGTTGCGTTTAATTTTGCTTAATTTGATTTTGGTGGCACTAGAAGGCGAAATGTTGCTGGGGAGGGGCAAGGATTTAACAATGCCTGACAAATCCACATGCATATGTGGCTTACAGCTTGTTTTCTCCTTTGATTAATGGTAAAGCCTTGCACGAACAAATTAAACATAACATCTTACATTTGAGTTAGTCTTAAAATTTTATTTAAACAGACAACCTACCATAGAAACGATCAACCTTTAATCATATATACTTATATTGTTTTTATACTTCTCAACTTTGCTAAAACTTTAATTGAATGTTTGAAATCTAAAAATTAAGAATTAACTACCGACTTTAAAGCCAACATGCTAACATGTACTCTCCCACAGATAATATCTGTCTCTCTCAACTCCAATTCTCGCAAAAATGTGCTCTTTAAACACTGTTTTATGTATTAATAATCTTACGTTCTAGCGAGTATATTTATATACTCGGACTATTTGCAGCCATTTGCTATTTAATTGAATAGATTTTCCTTAATCATTCGCATGTATTTAGAATCTTTTGCCTATAGCCTTTCAAAATTCAAATGCTGCGGAAATCTCCTGCACTTGAATATAACCAGAGACGGTCCGGCTTTGACTGGCTTGTACCAAAACACTGAGTGCTGGCAATAAAATTCCGAATAACCTTTTTTGACAAATGAAACGTGCAACAAACAGGACACCAAAGCAGCTGCATGGACCAGAGACCAGGTCTCAGCCTGAGCCTGAGCCAGTGCCAACAAAGATTTATGCATTTTACAGTGTGTACGCTTTATGCGAAACTAAACGGCAAACAGTTTTAGTAAAGAAGGGCACTGGTTGCCTTTTGGCTTGGCTAACCGAAGCCGAGCATGGCAGCGACTGTTTCTGGATGGGCAAACATGTTTTGCATGTGGCCCGTACTCGGCAGTCAGCTGACAGGAGGCGAGGGACGGCAGAGTGTAAGTCCATTGTGCCCCTTAATAGACTGCAACTGCACCAGGTTCTGGCAGCCGGCAAACATTTGTGCAGCTTATTAATATGCATCCCATCTCAGTCGCACCAGCTCACGGAGATTAGTCCAGAGCAGGTATGGCAGACGGTGCAAGGTTGAGCTTGGCCAGCTATCGACAATTTTATCTACTAGGCCAAGCGCAAAGTTTTTCGCTTCGTATCGAAAAGTCGTTAGTAAGCTGACCGACCGCAAAAAGAGAAAGAGATGTGGACAGAGCAAGTTGCCCGGCAAAGGTTTTATGTCTTAGTCGCAGTCGTCTTGACGCTTGCAAAAAAACATAAAAAAAAAATAAAATTAAAGTTTTTCCAAAGACTTGCACTTAGCCTCAAAAGTTTACTTCGCACAAAGTTTTGTGACTGAGCTTGTCTCGGTTCTCTAAGTAGATTTGTTGGCCTGGCCATATGGAGCTAAAAAACGAGTGTCTTTTGAGCAAGGTTTCCCTTGCCCATCTGCCCACCCCCTCCTCGTAAAGTACCTGCATAATAGGCGAAATAACAATGCTTATAAATATGTAAAATTCAAGTCTCAGAAATAGCACAGGAATATCATATGATAAGGATATCATGAATAAGAAAATTTAGAGTTAAAAAAAAAAAAAACAGAAAGTAGCATTAGAAAATGCAAATGACTTTCAACTATCAAAAGGAATATTCCATGGGTGCAATACCCTTTTTGTTCGAGATCCTTGGTATATTCATTCTCTATATATTTCTATATATTCATACCTATATAATAATGTCAGAAAACAGTAAAATCTTATAGCTAGACTCTTCAAAATAATGAATACAATAATATTTATATTTTCGAAAAATTTAAGATCATACATCGTTAAATATGGGTAAACTCACGAATTTTTTAAATAAGAATTCATTATTGGCAGCTACCGCTGTAATTATGGGTATTTGTGCATTCTGTATAGCATTTTTCTCGGGCTTTCTTCACGAGGTCGGAAAAGTCAAATCAATTTTGGTGAATGTGTTTCTGGTTATTATGCTACTGTTCCTAGTGAGTGACACAATCAAGTTCCTGGTATTGTCAATGGACAGAGCCTGGTGGCCGCATCAACAGGCCTCGTACAATGTAGATAAGAATGCGACCATTCATACACGCACACATTATTTAAAAATGCGGATAAATACGCTGCGCTCACAGCTGTTGGCTACCGAGAAGCATTGCAACGAGCCCCTGAACCTAATGTATCAGATCAATGCCAAGGACTTGTGGCTGTATGGCAAGTATTTCCTGCTACTGATGTGCCTGGTGCTAGTCTCCTGGGATGAATTGCTCTACTACAATACCAAGCAGAAGTACACGCTCTTCAAGAACAATCAGACTCGCACCTTGGGAATAGTCAGCATTCAAAACCTGCAAGGGCTGTTCACGTTTCTTGAGTCTGCACTTGTGGCGCCCTTTGAGCCGGATTCGGAAGTTACTGGACAAAAGAGATGGTTGTATGGCGATCATACCGCCAAGTTGGGTGTTGTACGCTTGCGACAGCTGCGCAGACGAGAGAACTTTCACATTGGCTGGGGTGAAATCGAGTTCTCAGATTGGGACTATATGCCCAGATGGGAACTACCATATCAACGGATGCTGTACACAGACAAGTATTGGAAAATCTATGAGCCATGGCTGCCCATATATCCCACGCATAGTACATCGACTAAGATGTTATTCGGCTTTTATCATGATGGCTATACACAGAGCTTCCCGGAGCTGCACGGCTACGTAACAATGCTTGCGCGCAGCTATAACAATAGCATGAAAGTGATTGATTATCTTATAAATATGAATTGGCTGACATGGAACACATCGGCGGTATTCGTAGACTTTACGCTCTACAATGTGGATGCCAACATGTTTACCATATGCACTGTGCTGGTCGAGCAGACGCCATTTGGCGATATTGTTACCACACTGAACATATTCAGTGTCCAATTGCAGTTCGTCGATACTCTGGGTACACTGGGCACAGTCGTGGTGGCCATCTATTTAATTGTGCTCATACAGTACGCCAAATCGGTGGTCATAACGCTATGGTATGAGCCGCACAAGCTACGCAGCATGTGGAACAAGCTGGATTTGCTTATCCTAGTGCTAAATGTCATTGTGATCATTCTGATTATCATACGGGAAATAGTTGTATCGAATCTGCTCTCGAAGGTGGAGAGTTCAAGTAAGCTTGTGTTCCTTGACTTCAGGCTGCCGACACGCTTGCATTTGTCGAGTACCATAATGGTGGGATTTCTTGTCTGCATGGCCACGTTGCGATTGTGGCGAGTGCTTCTGTTTGCCAGCGTTTTTCAGTTATTCTCGACTACGTTGTACTCGGCATGGAAGGCGTTGGCTAGTACAGCCATATTAATACTTATATTTTTGTTCGGCTACGGCATGGCCGTTGTCATTATAAATGGCAACAATACGGTTACATTTGAGAAACTGCTAAAGAGCATCATCTCGTCTTTGTGCTTCTCCTTTGGCTTTACCTCACAGTTCAATCCCCGCGATCTCTTTCATGGCGGCAGTTTTCTCGGCTTAATTCTATATTTAATTTTGGCCTTTGTGGTTGTTCAGCTGATGATGAACCTTTTTGTTTCGACAATCAACGATTATTTCTTACATGCCAAGCTCCAGCGAGATGCCAAAGCGTTGAACTACATCAGCTTCCTGCAGTTTCTACGTGTGGAGTATGCCCCAGCCTTTCGATTCTGCCAGAAGCTGCCTTTCTGCCGACGAGGCTACAAGCGGCATAATCGCACAGTTACCGAAAACTTGGATATCAAAATGGACAAAAACAAACGCTGGAGTGAAAAGAAAAGATACCAAGCTCTTTCTTTTGGTGATGATACTAAAACGGAAACCTTCAAAGGCGATGAAAAATCTAGGCAAGAAGAATATATAACGCATATTGAACGTCTTTATACGGTTGCGGCCCTCATGCAAACCCAAATGACATTACTTGACCACTTGCTCTTTAAGGAGGAAGTCAATTTAGATGAATCAGATGATGAAAGCGATTCTGAAGATGAATATGTTTAAATATTATTGATATGGTGTTTTTCATTTAAATAGGGTATAAATGGAAAAAAGTATTCTTAATTAACGGAGAGAACAGCATGTCAGTCAATTTAATTACAATCTCAAGTTCATAATATGACAAATAACATCTAATAAAAAAAAATGGCCAGTATTAATTAGCAGAGAGACCAATCTCTATAGAGACTGTCAATTTATTTACACAATTGAGATAAAGAGACCTTTTCATAAATTTAAATAATATTAATATTAATTGTGGGCAGATACAAGATACATGTACTTCATTATCCGTGATGTGCATTATGAATATTCACAAAATATTTAAAGAAAACTTACTGTTTTAAATACAAAATTTGTATTTATTTTTTGTATCATGAGAATCTGCACCCTTAAGCATATTATATATATTATTATTATTATATTATGCTATTAACCAAAAGGATTCTCTTTGGCGTTCAGCATATTGTTTCACAGATGTTTTTGTTTCGGTAAATCGAATTTGACAGTTACAAAAACGGAACAAAAACTGCCTACTTTTCCAACATTTTCGACTTTTCGAAAACCCAAACTTATCCAGAAATGTTTCTTGAAAATCATTTCCAAATACTTTCTGTTCCAGCAACGTTAAGTTAACAAACGATAAACAATTTTTCAAAACTTCAAAAACAAAAAAAACTCGAATCGAAAAGGCATCGATACAGATTTAATCATGGACCAAAAATCAAAAAACTGTATTTTCTTCATGTTCACCACAGCAATCATCTTGACATGCATGGGTCTAATGATTTATTATTCGGGCTTTGAGCACGAAACGCGGAATGCCAAAAACATTTTCATAGCAATCGTGATAGTAATATTCTTTCAGCTCCTGATTGGTGAGCCAATTAAACTTTTGCTAATTGCACTTGATATGTCCATTTGGCCGCGCAGCATGCCCAAGTATCGCAAATATCAAGATGAAGAGGACGACAACGATGAGGAATACAATCGTTTGAACTTCCTTAAGCGACGCTTGAGGGCAATGAGAGTTCAGATACTGATCACCGAACGTTATCGCAATGAGGCGCTCACCCAGGAGTACAGGATTATTGCACAAGATCTATTTCTTTATGGTAAATACTTTTTAATACTGATTGGCGTGGTGCTGGTCTCACGCGACGAGCTATTGTACTACAATACCCATCGATTGAATCTGCTCTTGATGAACAATCATTCGACTTATGTTGGGCTTAAGGAGGTTTATCATCTGAATCAGCTGTTCGATTTTGTAAAGTCATCGCTAATCGATGCTTTCAGCTACGATGCCAACGATACGGGAGTGTACTCCTGGGTGCACAGCTTCCAAACTAAAATGGTGAGCGTGGTGCGAATACGTCAACTGCGCCTGGCCAAGGAACATATGGGCTGGGATGATCCCGAATTTACGGATCAACCATATTTGCCCAATTGGCAATTGCCATACTATCACATGCACTATGCCGAGAAATATTGGCGCATCTATGAGCCCTGGATACCGCATGTCGAAACCAACTTTGCTTCTCGGGTTCTGCTTAATTTTAATCATATAGGGAAATTCCAGAACTATCCCGAGCTAAAAGGTTACGTCTCGCTGCTGGCACGCCAAAAGCAGAATAGCATGAAGATAATTGAATTTCTAACCGAATCTCATTGGCTAACCTACAACACATCGGCGGTATTCCTGGACTTTACGCTATATAATGTCGATGCGGATATGTTCAGCGTGTGCACATTGCGCGTAGAGCAAACTCCCTTTGGTGGCATCATACCAGATGTTTACTGTGACAGCATTGAGCTGATCGATGATGTCCTACAGATAGGCTATGTGACATTGGTGGTGCTGCTCATCTATTTTATAGTCCTTCTGCAGTTCATTCATTCATTCATGGTTCAACTTTGGTATGAGCCATTCAGGTTGCGCAGCATGTGGAACAAACTGGATTTGATTATATTTATCCTTAATATCGCAATGATTGGGGTTGTCCTCACGCGTACAACAATCGTAGGCGGGATGCTAAAGAGACTGGAGGGTGCCAATAAGCTAGATTTTCTAGACTTTCGGAAACCGGCTCGCTTACTTGCCCTGGCCAATATATTAACAGGCTTTCTAATTTGCGCAACCACCTTGCGTTTGTGGAAGGTGATGCAATTCGCCAAGGTATTTCAGATATTCACCAAAACTCTGTATCTGGCCTGGAAGGCATTGGCCATCACCGCTCTGGCCATTACCATCATTCTGATGGCATTTGTCATTGCGTTTGTCACTATCAATGGCAACAACAGTTCCCACTTTATTCGACCGGTCAAAAGTGTCGTCACGTCTTTGTGCTTCTCGTTCGGATTTATGAGCGAGATCAAGCCAAACGAACTCTTTCATGGTGGTAAATATCTGGGCATTGTTATGTATGCTGCTTTGGGATTTGTGATTTCTGTGCTGCTGATCAATGTGTTTGTAACATTAATTCATGACTATTTTACCGCCGCCAAGATCATAGGTGATGCCAAATTCAAGCGACAAATTACATTCTTGGAATTTCTACGTGTGGAATTCAATGCCGTCCACCAGTTTATTCATAACCTGCCATTTATCAAAAAGCACTACAAACGCAATAATCGCACAGTGGCTGAGAATATTCAACGTATTTTGGATGAGCGCGAAAGGCAAAAGATACTTAAAGCAAGATCGGCTAGCTCCATATTGACTAGCGTAGCAACTATCGAAGTTGAAAAGGACGAAGAGACTCTACAGGCTGAGTATCGCGAACACATTGAGCATATATGCGCCATCTCAAAAATTCTACACATCCAAATCGAAATTCTAGAGCGGGTTGTATTCAACGAAGTTTCGGATGAAACGAAGGATTGGCAAAGGAGGAGGCGCTCTAAGAGACCCGATGAAAGCGATCAACCTCCCGACCACCAGGACGGCAAACCTTCCCATAGATATGATAGCTTCGTATAATCTATCGTTCGCTTGGCGTACAGAGATATTTATTATATCATTTATTTTTTGTTTCCTATTTTTGGTTTAGAATTAAATATGAAAATGGGTAAAAATGTCATTTTTAAGCATAGATTTGTGTAAATGTATGTAACGGTAGGAAGTATCTTCGACCTCAAAGTATATATATTCTCGATCAGCATCAGTAGCTGAGTCGATCTAAACATGTCCCTCTGTTCCTCTGTCCATCTGTCCACCTGTCCATCCGTCCACCTGTCCATCCGTCTGTCGTCCGTATGTATGAACACAAGGATCAAAAGACTTCTCTTTCTATTTTTATGATAGCTCTTGTATTTATACCCTTGTAGAGGGTATTATAATTTTGTGACATTTTCGACCCCATAAAGTATATATATATTCTAGATTAGCATGAACAGCCAAGTTGTCCGACTGTCTGTTTCCTTGCATAGATCGATCCAAAGTTAGTTCTGGTAAAAAACTCTTGTTAGTAGGAACTATTCTTACATATCTGCAAAAGGGAAATTTCCAGTGAAGGGTTTTATGATGTCGAAAAAAGAAAATGATAATAATAATTCGTAAATACAAGATTTAAATTAAAAGGATGCAATAAATGAAATCTATTTTATTTTTGCTGCATTTATTTTACTTTTAATATCTTTCGTTTTCCATTTAATTTAATTTCTTTTCTTTATTTTTTTATATATATATATTTTCACACAAATAAATAATTATGCGCAAACAGAGAAAACTTTGACTTGAAAAGGCTTTTAGGGCAATTTGGTGATGGCATTGTTGGACTTGTTTGCAAAAACTTGAACGGAACCTGAGCCTGGCTGTGGGCCAAAACGAAATGACTTATAAGTAACGAAGCATTTCGGACATACTTGAAAGAGCATTCAGCTCTCACAATTGTTATAGGTTAGCAAATAAAAATTTAATACCTCATGCTTTTAGGCTGCTGCCGAAAACTATTTGAGTTGCCCAGTTTTCAGTTACCAGTTGCCAGCTATGTGTAATCGGAGGCAGCAGTTATTGTTAGACCCACACTAAAAACTTTAAAAACATTTTGATCAACAGCAAATGTAGCTAAACTAAACAATTGCGAACGGCGCTAAACTTTTGCCACTGTCCCACTCTTCTACTGATCCAGAGGGCCTTCCTCCTCTAGCTGGAGACAGACTGTCTGCAACTATTCTTTTGGGTGCATACTCTCGTGTACATGCATAATGTGTGCACACATACATACATATGTGCATGTCACTTGGGGAATTGTGTAAACTTTTATAATTATTAGCAACAAATGAGCAGTGACAGAGCACTTTTGCAGTAGCTGTAACTTTTGCCAGACAGATATTCTCAGCAGTCCCAAACAAACGAACAAAAAATCACAAATGATTCCTGGCCGCTCTGGCTCAATTTAAAAGTTTTAACTACCTGACTAGTCGTATGTGTGCACCTACGAGGCAGACACTAAGAAATAGTGCCCCAATCAAAAGCCCTTTAAACTTTTAAATGCCTTAAGTGGGGGGCGTTGCAAAAAACTTTCTAATTTCTGTCTGACTTCGGGCAGTTTTTAATGTTAACATGTTTTTATTACACATGTTGGTCGTACTTTAAGCTGTTAAGAGTAATGTATTTAAATTAAATTTAAAGATGTATTAAAAGCATCACAACTAACTAGGTTAGCTATTCGAAATGATCAACTATGGAATACAGCGATCGGCATGCAAATCTATATTTAGTTCTACAATTTTTAGACTTTTGAAAATCGAAATACCCGTGTGGTTGGCGGACACTAGAATACCTCCACAGCATGTCACCGCTTGTCGTACAAGGCGACTAATAGAGACACTCTTCCCATGCCCCAAAACCGAGTGTGTTGGGTTTCAAATAGGATGCCTTGCCTTTTTTTTTAAAAGTTAAGTTGATCTCTACGGTAAATCAAAATAGTTTTGCCAGTCATAAATAACACTCAGCCGATATCAGTGAGAAAATCTGTTGGAAAATCCATTGAATTATAAGA